GACGAAGCTCCCCCCATGAACTGATGAAGCACAAATTTATTCATCGATTCATGGAGGCTGTCTAACAAAAAACCTGACCCCTGCTCCACCGCCGCCACTGCCCTACCCTAAATGAAGCCACAGCCACCATCTTTGCAAAGGACAGCCAGTGTCCCTTACTGCAGGCCGTGGATGCAGAGGCCACTGCAGCCGGCGGCGATGGATGGCAGCAACACTGGATGGTGGCAGTGGCTAAGGTAGAAAAAGGGGGGAAAGGCTATGGGGGTGGATATGCTGCAGCCGGCGGCGATGGATGGCAGCAACGCTGGATGGTGGCAGTGGCTAAGGTAGAAAGAGGAAGGGGGGAAAGGCTATGGTAGCTGTGGGAGTGGGTGGCTGCCGATTGGCCCACCAATCAGCTGGTCGGTGGGCTCCTAGGCAGAATGGGAAAGCCACAGGAAGAGAGGTAAGGCTAGCCTTCAGTTTCTTCCTATGAGGGACGAATAAAAATAGAGAAATATTTATTCCTTTGTATTTGTCAGAGTCTCTGGAACAGGCAAATATGAAGGGACAAATATTTAATGAATCAGTGATTTCTTACGAATATCTCAATCCATTTTTTTTATTCGTCCCCATGTCTACTCCCAACCTCTGGTTCCTCAGCCAGAGACCTAACTCACAGAGCTATTCAACCAGTTCGTGTTGAGTTACTTTTCAACAACTGATTAGCATGCCTAGTCTGTCTGGTACCGGAGCATGGCTTTAGGCCGAACAGCTTTATTTAAAGCAAAAATATTCTATGTGCATCATAGTGAACTATTTACTTCGACTCTCAGCTCTAGATTTACTGAACTACAGTATTTACATGTGCCCCTTTGGAGAACCTCTGGCACAATCCTCGTCCAGAAAGGTATTTGTGTACTTCTAGTTCTCTGTGAAGCCCCCATTCCTGTAAACAAGGAGTTGCAAATGGCAAGGCCAGCTCATAAGCTGAATGGCACAGACTGGAGGAATGGACTTCTGTTCAGGAGAGCAGAAGAAGTTAGCAATCTGTTTTATTTTATTGTCTCCCCTTTTTCTTTCCAGCTGCCAGGAGAACCTGCCCCCCCCACAAGCAGTTTCCTAAGACAAACACAGGAAAGGCTGCAGGTAAGGGATTTCAAAAGTACACTCTCTTGTTTGATCCTGTCTTAAAAGGGCAATGTGGGGTATCTACTCTTCTACACTTTCCATCCTTTTTTTCTTCCCCCTATCCTTTCTGTTCCTCACATTTGAATTTAGTGATGCTGTGGCCACAAGACTTTGATGATTTAATCAATGGCTTTAAGGTAGGAAGGGCAGGGAATGTTCATTTTTAAGGGTTAAAAACACCGTGCTTCTTCATCTTCCTTAGGTTTTCTTTGTCTTTCTCCACTTATAATTGAGACATGTGAATGTCTGATATAACACAAGACATCTGTGGGCATGCTGTTCCACTCCTTTAATGCCTCTGGGCTCTTTGCTCTGCCTCACAGTGGCCTCAGAAACACACAAATCCTGATAGAGTTTGGTTTTAAACATTGGTCTGAAGACAGTCCATATGCATAGTTCCTAGCCTCACTACATCGGGGTTGAAGTCGGGAGACACAAGAGGCAACTCATTTTATCAGATGATACTGTGGCTTAGACTATTCTTCCTCAGTGAGTGTTATCCCTCTATCCTCACTTTCTGCGTCCCATTCAGAAACATCCTGTGTATGACCCAGGAAAAGTTTCTTAAGCCTGCCTATTTGACATCTAATTGACCTTATTATTAGGCAACATGGGACTCTCACCTCAATCACTGGGACTCTCACCTCAATCACTTGAGTAACGACAGTACATTATTGATAATAATAATTACATGCCATCAAGTTGATTCTGACTTATGATGACCCTTTCCGGGGTTTACCAGGTAGAGAATACACAGAAGTGTTCTACCATTCCTTTCTTCTGAGGGAGCACTGGGACTGTGATGCTTGCCCCTAACTATAGAGGCTGGCTCTTCTTATTTGTTTGTTTGTTTGTTTGTTTGTTTGCTTGCTTGTTTGCTTGCTTGCTTATTTATTTTGGCAGTGGCTGCATTTTACATGTGCTCACAGTATTATCTGACCGAGTTGTCAAAATAACACGGCCAACCTTAGATACTGTGGGAGAGGGATACTTCTTTAAGGATAGCAAAATGTCCCCGGCCAGCCTTTTCCTCCAGTCCTAGAGCAAAGTCCCCATGAAAACACCTACGGAGGGTGTGAGGCTATCAAAACATGTATTTAATGATTTACTTTAACCAAATTGTGCCATGTTAGTTAAGCAGCTTTTTGCAATTTCCAAAGCGTAAGACAGAACAGATGTCATTGTAGAATGACTAGGTTAAAACTAAAGAGCAAATAACTGCCATGGGCAAAATCCTGCTTTCTAGCCAACATCACAGAATACAGCTTTTTAAATTTTTCTTTCCCATTTGCACATATGGTCCAGCATCCCTTGATATCTCTCCATGATACAAAGAATAGCACTTTTCCACCAGCAGATTTCCAGAGAGACACTTCAAAATCTCCCTTAGCTTGTACTAAATGTCCATAATGCACCTGCATGAAACCAGGAAACATGTGCAGGCAAGAACTTTAGATGTTGTATGATGACATAAAAGTCCCATTTCAAAACACAATCATGAAGAGATGATCACAAGCACAGGCCAAGTGAGAGACAGGAAACTTTTTTATATAGGACTAAAACTCTAAGAATTCTGTATCTATGCTAGAGGTTGAGTTCTGAAAGTTATAATTTAAAAAACAAGCAAAAATGTTTGCTATAGTAGGCTTCACATCCTTCTATTCATAGAATCAAACTACCGTACATGTGACTCATGTTCAATGTCATGATATGAACTCCCAGTGTATTCTTCAGTCGCTGGATGTGGCATAAGAGGTGGTTTCCCTCTACATTATTTCCCAGTGAAAATCCTCCTTCTCTCAAAATAAATAAATACTGCTGGTTGTCCCAAAAGGAAAAGAACCTTAAGATCCCATATGGCTGTGCCCCTCCATTTTTCTATTTAAAGCAATCCACCAGTTTTCTACTGGTTTTATAAAGAAATTGTCCTGTTGCTCTTGTTACGTGCCATCAGGTTGTCTCCAACTTATGGCAACCCTATCCATAAATTATCTTCCAAATATCCTGTCCCCAACAGCCATGCTCAGTTCTTCTAAACCCAAGCTCTGGACAGGTGACTATTGCAAATCCAGAATTTGAGGGGGGAAAACCATAACACAGGAACTCCTTGACTGAGTTATTTGAAAGAACACAAATTGTTTCCTCTCTGGGGTGGGAAGACAATTTAACGTGAACTGCACTCTCTCTTGCACATCAATTTATAACAAAATCAGATGGTTAATGACTTGTAGCCTTTTTATGACATCAATAGGTGGCCACAGAACAGTCCTTTATGTATATTTATTTCACTTTACTTCATCCATACCCTGTCTTTCTCTCAAAAAAAGAGACAAATAAAATGAAAAACCTTTCTTCTGCAACTGGTCAGTTGCTCAAAGCCTGCTTGAATAAAAAGACTGCTGGTTAGAGATGGGCACGAACTGGGGAACTGGCAGGTCATGATGGTTCGTAGTTCATCACTATTCATGAACCACAAACTGTCTGACAAAATGACCCATTTCATAGTTCATGAAATTTGGGACCACCAGGAGCAGTAGAATGGCCACAGTGAGAGTCAGAGATGCTAAACTCACAGCGAGTCTTCAGCTGATTCTCCTCTCTACCTCTCCCAAGTTTGGCAAAGATTGGGTTTGGGCCATCCAAGTTATAGCCCCCCAAAAGGAGGTCCCCTAAAGAAACTGCTCTGTAGCAGCTGGTTAAGAGTCATCTTAAGATTTGCTCATGGGGGCCACTGTACCACTCCTAGAAGTCCAGAAACGCATGAACAATGAAGTGTACAAATCACCAACACCAGTAACAGTCCAGTGTTTTGTTTCATTCTGGGCAGTTGTGTTTCCCTGAAGCGTTCTGAAACAAGCCACAAAAAGGCCCAGTTCTTGGGGGATTTTTGCTTTGTGGTTGTTGCGAGCACGCTGAAGCCTCTACCAACTCAGGCCTCCAGGAGTGCTCACTCTTCTTCTTCAGTTGCTGCCACCAATTTTATCCAATATTTTAAAAAAGACAAGTGTTGTTTCAAAACAAAAACTTGTTTATTGGTTTAACAAAATAAAGTAAGTAAATCACAGGATGTTAATCAATGTCTCTCACTCACTGACACACACAGACTCTGCCCTCACTGACTGTTTGGCTCACAGGCCCATAAACACACTCATCACTAACTCTCTCAAAATCTCTCTCCCTCACACAGTCCCCCCATTTATATATTCCAGCTCCTCCCCCTTCTGCACCACCTTCCGTCCCCTCATTGGCTGATGTTCCACTGCCCAGCTGTGACGGACAGGTGAGGGCAGGGCTGAATGCTACAGTGGTTCATTTTGCACCCATGGAAGAAGAATGAGGGGGGCACATAGCTCCCCTTGGCCATACATTCCACTGTCTTGGAGCCCCCCTTTCTAAGTTTTACTTCCTTTGCCATGAGCTGTCACATCAGGCTGTTGCTAATGAGATCTACCTTGACTATGTATATCTATGCTATGTGGTGGGGAAGGACCATTTTGACACTTTTGAAGAACTGATAGAAGGACAAAACAACATTTGAAGGACTGCCCTCTTGTCTCCCCATATCTTTTGGGTGGTATCACTGAGCTTTTCGGGAAAATATACTCTTCCAAACCATGTCCCAGAAATTAAGGGTGTGATTTTCCCCCCTCAAACATTGGAAGCAGAAATCATGAGGCAGATGGGGTCTTCCTTGATGTTTTCTGACATGCCAACCTAAAATTAATCAGGCAAAACAGTTTTCTAGACCTTTGAGATATGAATTCATGTGCACTGATGGCAAAAGGATCTGATAATCACATGTTATAAGCAGCCATGAAATTGGAGATTACCTTTTTGTCTTCTTGTGGTTCCGACAAACTCCTCTAAAGCTTTTAAGAATCAGCCATCTGTGTGGAAAATTGTCCTAAAGCAGGTAAAATGAGATTATTAAAGACCACTAGCTGCGTAATATAATATGTGTGCAATGTAGTCAATATGAACCATCTTTAGGTCCCACTGACTTTAAAAGAGAGCATGGAGCATGTGCTTAAATCTTTCCCATTGGAAGCAGTGGGATTTCAAGCTGCTTGATTTGGACTGGATTGAGCCCTATATTTACACCTCTTCACTTGGCTGAACACCAGCATCCTATCAAGGACTTCCTTGAGCCCTATATTTACACCTCTTCACTTGACTGAACACCAACATCCTGTCAAGGACTTCCTTGATTTAAGTACTGGAAACAGTAATCAAATAGCTAAAATATATATTTAAAAAAACAGTAGAACATGTAAAATATTGCAGGTTTTGAATTATTGGCAAAATTATCTCTTTGCTACAGAGTAATAGTACAGAGATCTAAAAAGCTGAATAGCTCCAAGTTTCCCAGTCTCTATCCCTTTCTCATTAACTGGCACTTAAGGTCTCAATAATTCTCTCTGAGACATCTGTAGTAGAAATAATAATAATAAAAAAACTTTACTTACAGTTGCTTGAAATGACAAACCATTGCTTTCTTTACTGCAAACATACTAGCAACAAACAGAACAGATCAACAGCAAGCAACTGTGACCAACCAACCAAAGATAGAACACTCAGCATAGTGGTGGGAATCTCTTTGAATTTCAAAAGCTGGAAAGAACAATTGGTTAGTGCTAGATAGACAGACAATCACCTGAGTCAAGAAAAATCCCTCCCAGTCACTCAAACTACAGACAGCATGCAATAAATAAAACTGAATAAAACTCCAGCATAAAAGTATGCATACAAACTTTTGTTCTTTTGTTCACATCTTATATTTTAAAAGCAAGGCATCCTGGCCTTCCTTTCTTTTTTCAATGCCTTGTATTCTTTATTCCTTACATTCACAAGGTACCCTGGAAGACCTCCTTGAAAAGTATAGCAGTGCAAGTACCACACATTTATTTCCCAGACAGAGATTTGAAACAGAAAATTTTTTATCCTCAGCTGTTTAATTCTGCAGAAGAAGAGACATCTTATCTGCACATATGTAGTAGCTGATCTCTTTGGAACTGGAACAACAAATAATGTTATTATTTTTAAAAAGCCCGAACCATCCTGCTCATCAGCCTCCACAGCCATGTGATTTAAAAAACAAACACCAGTAACTGAAGGACTATAAACTATTTTGATTTGAAATATATGCAGTCGTCATTTCTAGACTTTAACCCTTCGTATTACTCTTGATACTTCATCCTTATTGACTCCTGAATGAGAGCATAACCCTAACTAGCCAAGATGGCTGAGGGCCAGCTGAGCTGAAAGGAGGCTTACTGAAGCTGTGCAGAATCCAACCTTTTCCCTGGCAATGTTAAGGATTACTTAGGGCTATCTTCACCTTTATTTAACTTTGTGCCAGCAAATTGTATCCCTGGGCTGATGACAGAGCTGTAAGCAGCAGTTTTAGCACCCATGTAGTTCAGGATTTGAAAGTAATACTGGAAGTGCTTTACCTTGCCAGCATCCCCCCTCCTCCACAGGGGACAGAAGCAGTGTCAAGGCTACCTAAACAAGAATAAAGAATAGGAAATGTGTACGTTTATGTGTGTTTAACATGTTTAATGTTCTAACCATGAAATCTGGTCTGCTCAGGAGACCTGATCTACTGCTGCCTTTTCATACAGTGGTAGACCATGCCACTAGACCATTCCCAGCAGTGACTGAGGATGTTATTGCTATAGGTGGCCTGGTGTATTACAGTGGTGTAATGTGGGGGGGGAACACCTGGGTGGCAGGTGCCAAATTTTAGGGGGTGAAAAGTCCTGCTTGGCATGGTCCCACAGGTGCTCCTCACATTCCTCTTCCCCCTTCCAGCAGTCCAGGTCCAAGTCACCATAGGTGGCAGGCCCATCGCCAGCACAGCCCTTGAGCGGCTCCATGACCACTTCATGGCACCACCCTGGGGGCTTCTCTCCCCCCGCCTCCATGCCCCACCCCACCTACTGGTTGCATCACAGAGTCGGCACATGACCAGCACCCCACAATGCTTGCTTTGCCAGGTGCTGGCCACCCATGCTAAACCACTGGGGTACACCCTGGAACAAAGCCATATAGCCTTAATCTAGTTACAGCCCTGACTGGAGATGTTTGCGTCTGGCATAACTTGGCTCCTCCCTCGTTCTATCCTTTTTCTACCCTTTTTTTCCTCCTCTGTTGTTGATCTTAGCCCACACGGCCACCCTGGCTGTTGGCTGTTGCACAAGATTTCTGCAAGCAGCAAAAAGGGAAGAGGTTTTCAGCAGATCCAAACACCCTCCAACTGGCACTTATTTAAGTCAGGATTGCACTGTTGGTTGGAATCCTCTGATGTGGCTACAGGAGGTGGTGATGGAGGGAGAAGATGGCCATTGCCAAGGGGAATGTGCTTGGTTTTTTTAATCTGTTTTGCAGCCTGGGCACTGTGCTATTGTTTCAGCAATGAGCAAGCACAAGAGCAGGATACCCTGCATCTCCTGCCTCTGTTTCCTGTTTCCACCCTTGAACAGTGTTTGGGCAGTGGGGGGGGGGGATTGCTACTTGAAAGAAATGCACTTTTCCAACATAATCTTTTCTTCCACAAGTGTGGCAGGATTTAGCAGTCATTCTGCCCCATTTTGCTAATTCAGATATGGAGAAGCAAATAAAAGAAACATAGGAAAGCAACAGAATGCTCTACAAGCTGATTTTTTAACAAAACCGGAAACACAAAAATAACAAACATTAGATAGATATTTGACAAAATGAATAATACAAATTCTCTCTCTCTCTCTCTCTCTCTCAAGAAGACATTTTCTTTAAACTATTAGTCTAAAATCCAGAATTCCTAATTAGTCTTTCATAGATACATTAATCTATTGATGGCTGCAGTAACCTACAAAAGGGGTGGAAAGAGATTTGTCACTTCTTCCATGGAGGGATAAGAGTCCTTTACAGAATCATTCAGAAGTATCCTACAGTGATTAGTGGGTCTTACTCCTGAGTAAAAGTGCTTCCAAATGGAGGAATCCTGGCACTATCAATCAAAAGACATTATACAACAGTTCCATCTTTCCACCCTCATATGATTATCTATGGAAAGTAAAAGATGGAAGAAATAGTGGGAAGACATAGAAGGATAATAAGCGCACAACCTATGGAGCCATCTTGACAAGAAAAATTCCGTTCTAAAATCTCATACTACACACTGAATGGGAACTTGAAAACAAATGTTTCTAGCTTTTTACATATTGTACTTTTTTCTCTAAAAAGCTTATTAAACTGTATTCTCAAAGATTATCTTAATAAATAGGGAGCCAATAATTTCTGAGATGTAAGCCCGGCATCATCTATAAAAGGATAGGAAGGTAAGGGAGATGTCATGTTAGATTAGACCAGGAAAAAAGGCAGCCAACACAGCTGCTTTGTATGAGTCAAATATGTTGATCCTCACTTCCTCTGGTCCACAAGCCAGGATCAAGGGCATTTGAGGTTAAGCAGAAAGCACTCCAGCTGGATTTGGAACAAACGTGCATGAGCCACTCTCAATAATGCCAGTGGGCTGCCAAAGAAGATGAGAAAGTTACTTCAGATAATTGTAACTGCCTGAGATTCGAGCTGAATAAAAAAAGTTATACAAGCTGTAATGATACAAAGGACTTTGGAAAAATTATCTTTTCTTTCTTTCTTTCTTTCTTTCTTTCTTTCTTTCTTTCTTTCTTTCTTTCTTTCTTTCTTTCTTTCTTTCTTTCTTTCTTACTACAATTCCCAGAATTCCATGGCTAGCAAGGTCACTGGTGATGCTAGCTGGGGAATTCTGGGACTTATAATCTTTTTTAAAATATTTTTTCTAAGGGGTGCTGCTGCTTCAACTTCTACAACATTTTTTTATTCAACTCAGAGGTTTATCTGCACAATCGGCAGTTCAAAAACCAAACCTTGGTGCCCTTCCAGAAACAACCCCCTCACCCAAAAAACCCACAAGGAGCTCAAAAACAAAATCTTGTTTTTTCTAGCTGACTAAGACTTCACAAATACATCCCTTCAGGCTATGGTATACTAGTGGCAGTACATAACGTAAGTTATCATAAACAATGATTATTTGATATGTGTTTCTATGTAAAAGACCTAGCTCAGCTCTAGTGCTTAATCTGGTATTTCTCCTCAGCAATCATTTAAAATGCTTCTTGTTATTAGCCAGATTCATCCTTTGGGCAGGTCCACCAATGGCTGTTTGGCCTTTTAATCTCTAGTGATTGCTTTTGCCTTGTTTATGCAGTTCTTCCAGGCAGTTTGGATGAGATTGAAAAAAGCAGAACTGATTCTTTTAGAAATATCAACATTTGTGGTAAGCAGCAAGACATAGCCGTTTTGCAACCAAAACACAGTTGCTCAACCCAACTGCACCTGCTAGTGAAATTACTTTGACACAAAACAAGCTCTTCAGCATTCTCGGTTGCGGAAAAGCAACATGAACTTCTTACCCCACCATTTCAGTTGGTAACAAAATTTGCTATATTTCTTTCAAGCCAACATCACATAATAGCAATGAATACTAACAGGATCCCAACAATACAGCTTGTTTTCTCACTGACTGCTGAATGCACATAAAACCTAGCAACAAGATAACTTTGAAGAGTGGGGTAATTTTTACAATAGGTGTACTATTCTCTGGAGATGAAGAAATATCTAACTAAATAGGAATTCCTCTTTCCCATTTTTCAGCCATTCTGTCCAAGAATGTCCCGTCTCTTCTGGGCTGAAAACAACTCAGACCATCTCCAGGGCTTCTGAAACACCATTCAGGATACAAAATACTGTATTCTCTTATGTTCTTGGTTTTAGTTCAGTCCAAATGTGCCTGATGAAACACTTTACTGGTTTCAAATTCACAGAACAACTAGTAGCTGTGTCTATGTAGATGGTATAATTTGAATGCAGTTATGTTATGTGAATCCAATTGAAAATGTTTGTTTTTATTTTATTTATATTTAGGTTTGCAGACAGACAGACAGACAGACAGACAGCAAGCAAGCAAGCAAGCAAGCAAGCAAGCAAGAAAGCAAGAAAGCAAGAAAGCAAGAAAGCAAGAAAGAAAGAAAGAAAGAAAGAAAGAAAACATTTTACCAGCCTGTAAATTTTTTATTGTTTGCTTAGGTTGGGTTGGCTTGCAAACTTATCAGTTGTGTGACATAAGGGTGAAATGGACAAGCTGCAGCAGTTAAACCTATTCCTTGGTCTAAGTTCAGTGCTAGTGTAATAGTGAACAAAGCCACTGAAATGAATGGGACATGTTAGTCACAAGAAATCTAACGTGCACTGACAGCAATCAGTCTAGCATGAAGTGAGCACTAGCACCAGATTTTAGTGCATTGGTTCTTGTTATATCTCTATGTATGATGTCAAACTCCTTAACCTTACTGTCCTCAAATTATCCAAGATCTCCTATGATTTTAAAGCTTTAAGTACATATAGAAGTGTTTGTTTCCATTCTTTCCAGCTTTCCCTCCTCTCTCGTGCTTCCCCATTGCCTTTAGC